CCCCGGAGCAGTTTTGGAAGCGTCTACATAATCAAATATGTGTAATCAGTGCTTCACTTCCCTAATTTGAGAACGTCGTCGCCGTCAAATACTCCCATAAACGTAGGCCTTATAGATTTAAATAATAAAATTTTTAATTGGAGCCATGTGCACAGCACTCAAATGTAAGGCAGCGTGGTGGAATCAGGCTCTCGTCAAAATAATCAAAGTGAAGAAACGCGCATTTTCCCGCAGGTTTGTCTGAATTTTTATCAAATTTATGTTTTTTTGCCCAACACATTTCATGCCCATTAAAGAACTCATTTCTTTGTGGATTTTTTTTGAAAAACGTTAATTAAAGGTACAAAAAATGTAAATTTTGAGTTGACCATGGACTCTTAAACTATGGAAATAACTAATCTTTGGCGGCCATTTCTCACTAATTTTGCCTCTGAAAACAGGTGACCCCCACCTCCTTCTTTTGCAAATATCTCGACTTGTATTCAAGATAAATGGACACTTTTATTCATCTAAATAAAGACAAGTGAACAAGCTTTAAGATGATACCACTAACTCTAAATGCCCAAAAATTGACGAGAGCCTGATTCCACCACGCAGCCTCACAAATAACTGTTTCGTTGCAACATAATACACTTTTCACCCCTCTCGGGCCACTCTCATAAGCAGTCACACGCACCGATTATGTAATTGGTAGAGTCAACTTCAAAAAGGAGAAGTGAAGGGGGCTAACTCCTAATAATCTCTAGGCTGCTGTGAGTGCTTGTTTTCGGTTTTTTCCCTCAGCTTTTTACCGCTCTATAATCAGGTCATGACATGATTTCCTGGCCACGAGAAGCTTGACAAAAACAGCCAAGTTTGAAACCAAATTGCTAATAGAGCTACATAATTTGTGGTATTGTCATCTCTGCTTCTCTGCCTTGTGTTTGTGTATTCACATACATGTACTTATTTATATTCACTGTTGAAAAATCTCGAGACCACTCTTCCCGCCTTTATAATTACGTTTTGCCCAAAGTGAGAATAAAATTATTTTATGAGATACTTTCTCGACTATTTTGGCGAGTGAACATACAATATGAATTCAGGATTTGTTTTCATTCGCAACCCAATGATGTCGCTTAGCGCTTCGAAAAAGAAGTTTTAACGATTATGTTCCTATTGCGGGATTTTTTTTCGTGTGTGGCCTCTTTACTACCTGGTTCTTTGTCTCACTTTCAAACAGGTCAGCATTCACTCCAGGTCATTATTTAGACTAATAACTAATTACCTTTCAGATCAACCTTAACGATAGTCAAGTCTTTGAACATAAGCTAACCTGGCTCGCATTCTAGATCACATCTGTCTAATATAGCCATTGACAGTGCTTGTTCCGGATTTTACTTGTCCATACCCTGAGGCTGAAAGTAATCAGTCCATAATGAGGATGACACAACCTTTCTCTCTTTCTGACTAATCATTATTGTCATTTCTAAAGCAAATTATTCTTAACCATACACAAACTGTCTTACGATAAGAAATATATAGGTACCACGCAAGGATTTTTAAGAATTCAAAACAGGTGTGAAGTCCACTTACCAATGCATTTCTCTCTCTCTCTCTCTATCCCTCTCTCCCTTTCTATCTCTCTATCTATCTATCTATCTATCTATCTATCTATCTATCTATCTATCTATCTCTCTCTCTTTATCAATCTTTCTATCAATCGATCTGCATTCTATCTCTCTCTCTCTCTCTCTCTCTCTCTCTCTCTCTCTCACTCACTCACTCACTCACTCTCTCTCTCTCT